TTTGTGAGTTTTGCCTTTCATTTTGTTTAATCTAGTGATTCTCCAATGAGAAAGTTTACTGTTTACTGGTGGGGTTGTTTTGTGGGTTTTTTCTTTTTTTTCTTTCCTTTGATAAACATAGCTCTTCTCATTTTGCTGTGGGGAGATTTTTTTTGACAAATATTTATATACTTGCAATTATTTTTCTGCAGAAAAAAAAATGGCTGAGTTTCAACCGGACAACAATGGGCTGGGCTTTTTTATTCTTTTTCCATGAAAAGCTAAAAGAAACAGGCTGGCCAGTCATTGCAGGTGCAAGTGTGGGAAGCAAAGCCTGGTTTCTGATGATCAAAACCAAGCTGGTAAACTGTAGTCCACCCTTGTCTGCTTTTTGGTTTTGGGTTTTTTGTTTTGTTTGTTGTGGTGGCTTTTTTTTTTTCCAGCCTGGCTGAATGCTGGTGGGGTTTCAGTGCGGTGGGGATGCATTTTGGAGGAGCAGCCTTCTGGGGTTCAACAGGGGATGCTGCTTCTTCCTGGCACTGTATTTGGGCAAGCCCTTCCCCATGTGCCCTTCCTTGCATTACATTGCCCTAGTGCGCTGAAGCCGGCGGCATCCAGAGCAGGACAGAGGAGCTGTAACCCTGGCCGAAGCATTGCTGTACCCTTTCCTCTCCTGCTCCTCTGCAAGACCCTGATTCTGGCAGGATGAGAAGGATCGGTTTGCCTGAGGAAGGATCCGCTTTGCAACTTTGGAAAGCAGCCCCGCGTTGGGGCTCATCCAGCTGTTACAGCTGTCACCATCCACACATCTGCCTTTCCTCACAGCTGGAGAGAATGGCCTTCTCTAGCTGTCATCATGGGTGACTTTTCCCCCTTGCAAAGGCTGACTGTTACTGTAAGACTCCAAATTAGCTGAGGAGGCCTGGGCTGGGTCCTCCTGCTCCACTGACAGCACTCGCTATTCAGCCGCCTGAATGCCGTCTCTGTACCCGCCTGTCCTCTCTGCACGCTCGCTCGTCAGCTGCCCTATTGATTTTATGCAGCGAAGGAAAAAAGAAAAACCAGGGCAAGAAAGGGAACTGCTTTCTGCCAAAGCAGCCCCTCGGGCATCCCAGTGCTGCCAGCCAGGGATGGTCAGCAGCAGGAAACGGGGTCCAAAAGGCTGCCGTGGGCTGCCCTGCTTGGAGGGGGCTCTCCGGGGAGGCTGGGGGTGTGTGGGCACCTCGAGGTGCCCCTCGGCAGCCCCTCTGCTCGAGTGGCCTGATGCCTGCATGAATCACAGTGCTGTTATCAGTTTCACCATCTCTGGACTTTCCAAGGTTTTTGAAGCGAAAATCTTGGCGTGCCACAGGCTGCAGGTATTTACCTGAATCTGTGCTGTTCGCCAGCAGCTCAGCCCAGCCCCTTCTAGGAGGGGTGAAGCCAAAAGTACCAAACCCAGATCCTGCTTTTGGCAGGAAGGTGGGAAATCTCCCAACACTTCGGGATTCAAGGAAAGGGTGGTTTGGGAGTGAGATCTGCAGGCTGGGATGCAGGAAAAAGGGATTGTATTCCTGATCTGCTGGAGAATACACCCACACCCTTTGACAAATCACTTAATCTCTCTATGCCTTAGTTTCCTATGTAGCAAATGATACTCCTTATCTTTCACCTCTCATCTCGGTAGAGGAAAGAGTTTGTCTTTTAGTATGTATCTTATTACAGTTCTTTGTCCGGTGGCTGAGGCCCCTCTACCTTCATAAAATAAATAATTGAATTTAGATTAAATGGTCTAATATAATCCTGCCCAGTGGTTACTAAAACATTTGAATGGAAGTTCATTCTGAGCCTGTCTTTCCACTTCCTCATAAGGCCAAGACATGAAGTAATTAGATGTAGACATAGGTTGTTATTGTAGCACAATGACAAAGATCAGTGGTTATTGGTAAGAATGGCTTTTATAATCTAGTTTAGTGGTCATTTACCTTTCAGTGACCTTGGTGTCAGGCAAAATTGGCAGCTCTTTTGCAAGGAATGTGCTTCCTCAATGGGGCTTCGCAAGCGGCTGCGTTTTTGGCTCTGGCTTCACATGAACTAGGATAGACACCACTGCAATGCAAGAGACTTTCTGTCTGCGAAGAAAGGCCATAGACTTCTGCCAAAAGAAGCCCTTTTCAGGGCTGTCCTACTGCCACTGAATTGCCATTGAAACAGATCAGTAGTGTTTCATGCAATGCTTTGCTTATTGCTGGGACCAAAGTTGCAACCTTCAAACAGAGAGGGTCTGCTCAGGAGTTTCTGTAAAAACGGTTATGTTGCCTTGGAGTAAAAGAGGGAGAATATCTCCCATCCTCCACTTAAGTGCATGCAAGAGGACATGGTAGTTCTGGTTGTAACCCCCTTTAAGTCCTTATTACCTCAGTAAGATGTGATATTTCTATATACTTCAAAGTCCAGTCCTTTCAGTGATGATCATCCACTTATTGCAGATGCAAATCAGCCACATTTTCTATTGATCCTACACCATTCTCCATCACATGTTGCAAAATCCTTATGGTTTTATCTAGTGACTGATACCTGTGCCCACGGAGAAGAGCAGCATCATCTGAGCTGTGCTGCACTATCTAATGGTACCCCATATGTGTGCCCAAGCTTTGTAAAGAGATGGAGTAGGTCATATCCTGGGGCTTGGGAGGGCTGGATTCAGTAGAAGTATTCACAGTGACCTTGTCTAACTCTTTTAATTCTTCTGGGCCAATCATAATCTTAGAGGTAATCTCCCGTTTTCCATGAAGTAGGCTGAATTTTTGTAAGCACTATGGAAGTATTTACTTGAGACGGTGCCAGAAAGATTACCTGAGTCATGTTGTAATTGGGGGTTCACAAAGAAGTGCTACAAGAGTTGAGAAGAGTAATGTAGCTGTGGAAGGATGTTTCTCAAAAGCATCTCTGAGAATTGCGCTGCCTTGCGACTCAGGCTTCTGTCTACTGACCTCTCATCCTACTGCCCACAGCCATGTGATTTTGCAATCAAGTTCCTTGCACCTGTAACTATTGCCCTGCAGAGCAAGCCCAGCTACAGGAATCATCTCTTTACATGCTCTCATTTCTGAACTGCTAAGATAAGGAGAGCAAAACAATGCGGCTTGGAGGGAGATCCATTTGTTGCAGGCTGCTTTGGATAACCACCAACCTGGTTTTGCCATGAGCATGTTCAATGCATCATCACCATCACGTGATAGGTCTTTAGCTGAGATCGAGCAGTGGTTTCCAACATTCAAAATCTTGAGACAGTTTGACGTACGTAGGCTCTCAACTGTTTTTAGTCCTGTTCACCCGCTGGGACCTGCTGTGATTCTTGCTTGCACAGAGGATCTTCTAGACCCCCATCATATTAATTCTTCTTACTTCTCGCATTCGTCACTCTGATAAATATTAGCTTGTTCATTTGCAGATATGAGAGAATGAATGGTCACGTTGGTTTCAATGGCAGTTTACTTTGGAGGTATCAGGTTTGGATTGGGAATGTCCAGCTGAGATCAAGGAGATACTTGCATAGAAGCAGGTGGGTTGTATGCTGCTTCTTGCTGAAGAAGAGCAAAATGAATCTCTCTTGAGCCCCTGAAGTCTGAACCCATTGAAGTCTGACAGAGTCTTTCCACTGACCTCTGTGGCCTCAGGATCATGTCCTAAATGAGTTCCTTTGAGTCACGAGAAGCCTGAATTCAGTTTTGGTGGGCTGGGAAATGTAACCTACTGTATGGGCTGCGCTATTCATAAGAGCTCGGCCCTGTGTGTGTGCTAGCTGTGGATTCCTGGGAGAAGAATAAAGTCATTTTCTGCAGTCGTGGGAGTGGAGGAGGGAATGGGAATTACAACCCCTTCCCTGCAAATGTGTTATCATGACTTCCATGTGGGCAGCTGTGGGGAGCTGACCCACTTCTGAAGCTTCAAATTAAGATTTGGTATTTTTTGTGCTGTTTCTTCTGATACCATCTCCGACACATGAATATGCTGTCCATCCGGACGATCTAATAGGAACGTACATTTAGGTCTGGCCAGCGGGAACTGACCTCAATTTAAATTTTCTGAAGTGAGCCACCAAAGCAGATGAGCGAGGCTGTGATTTACCCCAGTGAAGTTTCCTTAAACTTAAAAGCAGCATGGTCCTTGAAGCTTGAGAGAAGCTGGTTATGAGTGTGTTTGACATCAAATGCTCACGTTTCATTGTTTAATGATATCAGTGGCATCTAATCTTGTTGTCGCCAAATACTACCTGTTTCCGTACAGTTTATGAAAAAAACTGTTGTTTCTTGAAGTGATTCTTGCTTTCTCTGATTTGCAGTGGCTTATAGCTGGGCAAAGCTGCAGCTTGCAAAACCATTCAAGTTAATGCAGCACGATACAGGCCTTTTCTATTCCCTACTGGTCCTAAATCAGACCAGAAGAGAATTAATTTGGTGTAGCAGGTATAAAAAAGAAGTGTGAGGTACTATCAGTTGGTAGGTTCCTCTGGAGCCATTATTGATTGATCTGGAGTCATTAGACTCTTTTACAGTCGAGATAGTGAAGATTATTACAGTTTCAGAGCACTAGAATGTTTTTCAATTAATGGCTAGCAACATTAACCTTTACAGTGTGATTTATGCTTTATTTATTAACATTCTAACCTGAGGAAAGGTTTCCTGGTGGCTAAAGATGGGGGAATAAGAAGGTGATGGCTCTCTCCTGGTCTTACACAAATGTTCTTTGTGACCTTGGAGGTGGTGGCACTTAAACTAGATATGCTTCAGATGTTTTTTATCTTATGAAACCAAAATATTAAGACTTTTCCAATTCATTGGTGTGAACTGTGACTCACAGGGGTACCACGGGAACACACAGCGTGTGTGTAAAGGGAACGGAGCATTGCCCTGGTTAAATTGTCCATATGTCACGTTACTTGGTGGTGTGCTGAGGAGTCAGCCTACTTTGCAGCCTGGCGCTGGCAAACCCAACCTTCGCTGCCCATCTGCCCCGCAGCTCCTGAGCATCAGGGAGCGATGGAGTGGGGTAGCTGGGGAGCCTCCAAAGGGGAGGAACAGCCCTGGCTGGGTTTTCAGTGCTTTTCCCACACACCATCATTCTTGTGCGGCGCTTCCTCTCTCTACATAATACTCTGTTATTTCCTCCCTGGAACGGGCTCCTGCTGCTGCTGCTAATTAGTCCACGATAAACTTCAGCATGAACAAAAGCAAGCAATTAAATGCCTGTTGCTTCAGCATGAGCCCTGTCAGAGAAGTGATTTGTCGGTGGCAGAGCTCAGTAGCTCCTCAGAGGAAAACAAACCTGTTAGCCTGGCTGAGCCCTCAGTGCTGGGGAGCGGTGTGTCCGAGTTGCTTGCTGCAGGTATGCAGGGATGTTTTGGTACAGCAGGTTTTCCTGGGAGTCTCTGAGATGCTGCTCAGTCCTGGGTCTTCAGTTCCACGTGGCAGAATGATCTCTGTGGTCACTACCTAAGCGTGGCAGCTTGAGAAGTTACTGAATTATGAATTATGTATGTGCTCAAGATTCAAGTGTCAAGATCTTGCTAGCTGCTTTTGTCTAATCTCAGCCCTAATGTTCAAAATCCGTCCAGGCTTTTTCCCCCTTGAGCACAAAGTCCAATAGGAGGAAGAATAGATGTTTACATGGGATTTTACTGGTGTGTGAATGGACAGAGGGAAGCTGGACCCACTTTCTTTTCAAAACTAGAGGGAAGGTTCAAGCTGGAAAACTAAATATGAATTATTCCTGGGCAGAAAATTGCAGAGGATCTCAGAAAATTCAGAATTAATGGATGTGCTCTTTTGAAATGCCACCCAACTGCTTTGCCAACGGTTGTCTCTGTTGCTGTTGTAGCTCTCGAGCAGCTGCTCACAGAACTTGAAGATTTTCTGAGGATACTGGACAAGGAGAACTTGAGCAGCACTGCCATTGTGAAGAAGAGCTTTCTCTCTGACCTTCTGCGAGTCTACACCAAGTCCAGCGGTACGGGCAAGGAAAACCAAGGATGGGGTGGTGGGGTCTCGTGGGAACTGCTACGGGGTCTTTAAGCAACTTTTTCTTGGAGGCTGGTGGGAAGGGGAGCCATGAAAATTAGAAGGAGAAAATGAAACAGATTATTTTTGCAGTGACCTCTAATTGTTTATGTAAAATTACTATAGTTATGTGTCCAGCTTTACAAGCGAAGGATTCCCAAGATTCCTAATACTTTCTGTTTTCCTTATTAAACCTTAAGTTTATTTAATCCACTTTGTAAGATACACAGGATGTACTGTTTGGCCAAGTTAATGTTTAAGTAGAAATTTTAACTTATGGAATTTCCTGACTATAAAGCATTTAATTTTTCTGCTTTTTATTATTGCTTGGGGTTTTTTCTGCACGTTTCCTCAACCAATATGCTCTCCCCAAAATGTACTCAGCAGAGACATTTTTTACATCTGTCTTTGTGGAAAAACTTAACAACGTGAAAGCAGCGGGTGGTAAAGAGTTCACTTTTCCCTTCGCTTGCAGGTGGCGATGAGGAATATATTTATATGAACAAAGTGACCATCCATAAACAGCAGGGTGACCAGGAGAAACAAGACAAAGGTAGGGAGCTGAAGATCAATGGTTGCCTCATACCTAACGGGGCAATGAAGGCGCACGTGTGGTTAGAGCCTTGCTTTACTGGGAGCTGTGGAGGCCCCCCCAGCAGCTCTGAGGGACGAGGCAGTTGATGGTGTGGAAGCACAGCCATTTTCATTGCATTCCTTTGGAAATCATGGTCCTTGCCAACACTGTGAGGTTATTCCTGGAAGTAGCACTTTGGAGAGCGTTATTTTGGGATAAAAATGTTGCCTTCTAAGGCTTGCAGCTCCATTGCCTGAAATATTTAAGGAAGCCCTCATGTTTCCTTTGGCCACGAAACATATCACTTCACCTCTTTGAGACCTTGAAAGCATGTGTCTTCTTTAGCGTGTTGCTCTGCTGTAGCCCAGAGGGTCTGCGTTGTCACAGCCTTGCGAGGCGAGTTCCCAGGCGCAGCCTGCACCCTCGCCATCTGCGCGGGCAGAGCACCTTCATCTCCCGGGGGATGCAAGAGTTCTGCAGTGTACAAGCCAAGAAATTAAACCTAGATAAAATACTCATTTCCTATTTAAATTTGAATTTGTAAAATGGGAAAGACCATAATTCTCTAAAAATGTCCTCGCTCTTTGAAGTTCATCACAAAGGCTGTTTGTGATAATTGCCTGGAGTGAGATTATTGCTGACGCACGCCTCGCTGGTGCACAGGTAGTCAGAGGCTGACCCTACCCCACTTTTTCTGATCCAAACAGATGAGATGAGGACGCATCAGTGCAGCCTGCTGTTGACATGCTGGTCCTGCAGTAGTTGGGATAAGTCCGTTTCCAGAGTTGTTTGTTTTGGTTTTATTGTCTTGTGGTGGGTTGTTTTGTTCCTTTGGTTTGGTTTGTTTTTTTAAACTACCTGCAGCTGAATTTAGGTTAACTTCAAATAGCTCTGAAGAACAGGACGTCCTCCCAGATTATGTGTGCAGCCCCAATGTGGTCTCCAGACAGGGACCTCTGGGTGATGCTGTAATGCTCCATAACAGGATTGCACAGCATCCTAGTAGCCCCAGGTGGCTCAGCAGTGACATAAACATCTCTTTATATAAGTTACCATTTGGGTATATAAACCAAGACTTGCGCTGATCCACCATGCTGAAACACAGGGGCAAATTTCAGACAATTTATTTTTAGAGTTGGTTCTTTTATTTCAGACTTTCCCTATCGAGGCCATGAGCCTACCCACTCCGTTGCTCCCTGTGGGACCTGGCGCTTCTCTCTTTCTCTGTTTTCAACAACCTCCCTATTCCAAGTAAAACTTTTGAGTTATTTGGAAATGCTGAAGTCAGTGAGACATGTATGGGACCTTAGCCATAGCTGCAGCTGGATGTACAGCCCTGATCCTGCCTCTCTAACTGCATGGAGAGGTCCGTGCCTGCCTGGTCAGAAGTGGGACCAGCAGGTTCAGAGTTAGCAGGTAGAGAGGGCCCCAGTACCCACTGGTGCTAGGGGGTGTGATATGGATCTCCCAGTGGTTATGCAGCTCCCTTTACCCCTTTTGTCCACTGTTGCTCTGGGCACTTTGTTTCACCAAAATCCTTTGGTGGGATGTGGTCACCACACTTTTGTGGCTGAAGTCAATGGGACCTCTCATGCCCTGTGGGGATAATACATCAGCTCCAAAAGTTTCCTTTCCAAGCCTTAAAACATGCTATTTCTGCAAAAAAACATATTTCACTCACTGCTTCTAATTCCATCAGTAAGGATTTAAGCTAAATGCGCTCCTTTTGACATGCCTTTTTATAGTACAGTAATTTAATTCACTGCAGTGAATGATGAAGGCACCATCACTTACTTAATCTTGTTTACTTGAGACACACAGCAAGTCTCTACCTTGCAAGTCCGTGGGACTCTTCAGTGAGCCGAATGCCATCTCCTCCTGGAAGTCAGCACAGAGGGATCGAGGTGCAGGATCTTGGGAGGTGGGACCGACGAGCAGCTTAGGGCTCCTGGTGGTGCACACTGCAGTCCTCTTACCTCAAATAACAGGAGGGATTCGCTTTTACAAAGAACAGAGAGCACTGATAAATAACAGTTAGTACAAATGCCAATTTTAGCAGGATTTTCGTTCTTTTTTCTTCTTCCTTCCCTCTTCTAAATTCTGTCCAAATTCCAGGTTTTAGAGAGACATCTTTATCAGAAGACACTTGCAAAGTGTTAAAGCTTGTCTAGGAAAAAATACTCCTTCCCTCCCACCCCAATAAGGAAACAGTCTGTGATTTGTGGTGCTGACGTGTGTAGCAGCAGAAGGAAGGGGTATGTACAGCACATGCTGTGAGGACTTTCCATACAGAAAGCATGCCCCCAACATAAGATGGTCATAGACCTGTTGGAAGTGAGTCCAGAGGAGGACCACAAAGATGATCAGAGGGCTGGAGCACCTCTCCTATGAGGACATGCTGAGAGAGTTGGGGTTGTTCAGCCTGGAGAAGAGAAGGCTCCGAGCAGACCTTATAGCCCCTTCCAGTACCTAAAGAGACTACAGGAAAGATGGGGAGGGACTCTTGATCAGGACGTGTAGTGATAGGACAAGGGGTAATGGTTTTGAACTGAAAGAGGAGAGATTTAGATTAGATATTAGGAAGAAATTCTTTACTCTGAGGATGGTGAGGCACTGGAATAGGCTTCCCAAGGAAGCTGTGGATGCCCCATCCCTGGAGGTGTTCAAGGTCAGGTTGGATGGGGCTTTGAGCAACCTGGTCTAGTGGGAGCCCATGGCAGGGGGGTTGGAACTCAATGATCTTTAAGGTCCCTTCCAACCCAAACCATTCTATGATTCTATTAGGTGCTTGTCCCCACGTGCTGGGCACAGCGATAGTTGCTCTCTGCAACCTCAGAACAGAAAACCCAATAACGTCTCCCAGGGGTCTTGTCAGGATGAAGGTTAAAAGGGGATTCTTCCTCCACAGAGCCTGAAAATCAAAGCTCCATTGCATCCTGCTCTGCTCTTCAGCTGGAGTACATGGGCATGTGTCCATGGAGGTGGGCAGGTTTCCAGCAGGGTGAGGACCAAAGCTGTGGTCTCCGTCCTGCGCTCCAAGGTTGGTGGGAGGAGGAGGAACTGCTGGTACAGAAACCAAACAGCATTTTCCTGGCATGGTGAGGTTCAGTGGGATGATTGCTAGGTTTCGGAGAGTCGAGAACAGATGGTCAGCACTTGCAAAAGGTTTGGCAGTGGTTTTTGCTGCTGCAATGATTTCTCCTCTGTGGAGCTGAGCATGGGAGGTTCTGCCTGGCAGAGGAGGATGTCAGTTGGCCTGTCCATTTCTCTCTGCCAAGGAGGCCTCTAAAAAGTTCCCCGTGTGGACAACTGTAAGTGTGGAGATAATCCCCTCTTGGGTAGCAGCCCAAGGGCTTTAGGAAATCTTAGACTTGTTTCTGATGTTTCCAAAAGCAGCAATGACCTCAGCAGCTGCTGTTGATGGAAGGTGTCTGCCCTGACAGCACCATCTCCTTGGTCCTTTACAGAAAAGGCCAACCTCCAACAGCAGCCTGTAGATATGACTCTGGCACTGTAATCATGGGGTATTTTGGTAGGTGGATCTCCCCATGATCAGTCTGTGTCATAGGCTCACCTGCTTTACTCCATTTGAACCTTACAAGACATCCAGCAGCCCTACTTGCGAGGCGCAAACAGCTGCTTGGAGTTGGTGTCTGTTGATCCATGGGTGTCCGTGTCCTCCTGACTTACTGAAGTCAGCCAGTGCTGATGACCAGGAGTCCTGCATCACAGGGAGCAATTTGTCACAAGAGATGTATTTTGAGCTCTCGCGCCGTCAGGCCAGGAGCTGGCTGCAGCCTGGCAGGGCAGAGCTGTCATCGTGGCTTCCGAGTCCCAGACGTGAACAAAGTGATGTGGTTTCCAGCTTCTATTTTTAAAGTCCAGAAATATGCAGCAAAGTTCCTGCCCGCATCTTCTGAGGGCAGTGCTGACCGCTGCTGGGCACTGCGCGGTGCCTTGGCAGCATCCGCAGGTGACTAAGGGAGCTAGAGCATCCACTCTGCTGCAGATTCTGGACCCAATTCCCTTTTAATTTACTGGACTTGCAACGCCTGAAGACCTTACCTCATTTCTCCCACAGTGTTTGGCAAAGGCGCTCTGTAAAAGGGAATTTCCCCCCTCTGCACAGGGTAATGCCTTCAAAGTCCTTCATTTTTCAGCTGCTTGGTGCCTTGCTCCCACTTGTTCCTGAGCATTGCTGCGTTGTGCTGTCTCGGAGGTCGTGGGATTTGGGCACTTGTTTGAGGCCACCCAGGAGTTCTGTGGTGGGGAAAGAGAGGGACTGAACACAAGTTTTCTGAGCCCTTGCCATACCCTCCAGCTACTGAATCACTCTGCATTCAGCTGCTTGGAAAATGTGACTTTCCAGAGGCAGACGCCTGGAACAGTTCTGCTGCCATATGCCCTTTCACGTGTTTGGCCTGGGCTGCTTTGAGAGCAACTCTTCCTTCGGTAGTGGTTAAACTACTGTTCTTGGCTGGCTATGATAAGCCGTTGTGCAGCCCAGCTAGGCAGCAGCCTTTGCGGTTCGCTCTGGGAGCAGGGTGGTATGAGCTCCACGTTTCTGGAAAGGCAGCAGAGGTGGGGACAGTCACCAATCTGTCCGTTTGCAGCAGCGGGGATGAGAGCGAGCAAGGACTAAAGTGCTGTGGATCTCCAGACACTGTGTAGCATCCGCCTGTGCTGCTTCTCAAGACCCATTAAAGTTTCAGCAGTGGGTCTAGGCTTCATGGTTTACCCTCCAGAAGGAAAAACATGCCCCCAAACCAGATGCCAGTTCTTTTGCTTGGTCTCCAAGTGCCACATTCCTGGGTACGGCACGAAATGACATGGTGGCCCCGTAGTGCTGCCTGTAATTGTCACTCTGCTTCTTACTGAAATAGCACCTCGCTGTTCCCGTGCACCCTGGGTAGCGAGAGCTTTGCTGGGAAATGCCACATGCCATCGATATAATTGTGTTTCTGGCTTGCAGCGCTGGATCGGAGGAACTCCTTGACCAATGGAGACTCAGGACTGCATTCGTCCCCTCCTCAGAAGAGCCTGCCGGACCTCCCCCCTCCAAAGGTATGTTTGGTGAGTCCTTTGCTTGTCGCTGCCTAACCCTCAGCCTGGGGGTGCGAGCCCCTGCAGGCTTCACTTCCATTACATACTGCACAGAACGGGTAAAAGGAGAGACCTCTGCTCATGTACAAATAGTCCTGGTGAGCTTTATTTAAAACAACAAAAAATAAAACTAAAAATATTTAACTAGGGGGCTCCCTGTCGGACGGGTTTCCAGCTATTCGTTTGGTGTTTACAAACACTGCAGGTCAGCATGTGGCCGGTGGCCCAGGCAGGGTGGCCGTGCTCCCGGGGTGGCTGGGCATCCAGAAACTCCTGTGGTTCCCACGTCTCGTGCGCAGATGGAGCAGGCAGCTGCCGGAGCCTTGGGCTTCCCGTGTGTGTGCAGGAGCACTGTGCAAAACGGGCTGTTCCCCGCCAGGGAAACCCACGCCCATCGCGTGGCAGCCCAGGCTCAAAGAAGGAAGAGAACTGATGTTTTCCAAAGAAACAAAGGTGAGGTTGGCTCTTAACTGTTGCTTTGGAAATATTCCCCGAGTTGTAAAGCAACTGTGCCCAGGCTGCTGGCATGAACTTAGGAAAACCAGAATTCCATCAGCGGTGGGGCAATCCCTGGGCAGGGCCAGGATCTCCCTCGCCGGCAGAGCCTTGCGTGGTTTGGCCATTAGCAGAGAAGATCAGGTTTGCTTCCAGCTGAAGGCCCTGGTGGTGTCTGTGCCTTGGGTGACCGTGCTGGGCATTACGCCAGCTGTACAGCCCCATGGGTCTGTGAGGAGGAGTTGCCAGCACTGCGCATTTTCCCATAGGACAGCTGTAAATCTGGTCAGGGCCCAGTTATAAATCTAGCCAGGGGTCCATTGCAACACCATCAGCTTTCAGTGGGATTTTGTCTCCCTGCCAGCAAGCCAGGGTGGCTGTCCTCGAGAGATGCGGGTCACCCCTGAGACCCCGGATGTTGCTGTTCAGTAGTTGATCCGACGTGGGAATCGCTGTTGCTTGGGATTTCAGGATGTGAAAGGAAAGTGTGTGTGGGGAGGAGGAGGGGGAAGCATGGAAGAGGACGAGGAGATGCATCCATCAGCTGTGGAGAAGCATCTGCTCCTTTCCCAGGAAGGAGGACACAGGGTGAGGCCCCAGGACTTCTACCCAGAAGGGGCTGTGTGGCTCAGCTGGAGTTAGCTGGAGGAGCTGGGAAAACAAGGGGATAGGAGGGGATGCGGCCGGCAAACCCTTGGATGCAGTGTGGTTGCCTGCTGGGAGCTGCTCCAGCCCTGGGGGGCTCTGCCCACGAGACTGGCCAGGGATGCAGCACTGGGGCTGGGGTCCCCTGTGAGCAGCAACCAGAGCATGAATGGCTGTTTGGCTTTGGTTTTCTCAAAGCCAGAGGGGGTGGTGGCTGTGGCAGGTGTGGCGAAATGAAGGCATGACCAGGGGAGCAGCAGCTGGGTGTCCCCAAGGCATCTCTGCTTGTGCTCGGTGCAGCCCAGCTTTTCTGATAGGGCAGTCAGGAAATTAAATGAGGGAATGAGAAAAATACAATCTTGGATATTAGTTGAGAAGGATACCTAAGCCATCCATCTTCTCCCAGGCCTGTGCTGGGAACTACCTTCTCCCACCTGCTTACTGCTAGCACTAACCTCCGTTGGATAAAGCAATCGCGTACCTCCTCACTGTGAGCATCTGAGTCTCAGTGAGCTGTTGGCAGCAAAGATGTCTGAGCATACTTCATGAGTGGGGCTGGGGAGAGCTTTAATGCGGTCCCAGTTAGTGTATGGAAATTGCTGTGGTGGGGAAACGAATCTTCCCTCTCCATGTTTGCTGCTCCTGGTGCAGGCAGGAGCCATGGCCACCTGGGCAGTGGAGGAGAGCGCGCAACTCTTTACGCAGAAACGGGGAGATTAGGAGAGGACCTCAGAATATATATATATTGGCTCTGTGAAGTTTTCTGTGATTTTGTGGTGTTAAGGTACCTCATGGTGTTGCTCTACACTTGTCTTTTGAGGCACGGGAGAAATTTGGTGATAAACTTTGCACAGCAGATTGTCCTTGGTATCCACTGACACCAACAGTCAAGGGGCAACCCAACAGGGATGGCCCAGCTGGATCCCACTAATTTCTTTGGATTTGTCCCAAAGCAACCTTTAAACAATGAGTCCTACAGGCTGTGGCTCAGACATCAGTGACCTTTCATCTGCAGTAGTCCTGGCAGCTCTGCCGCTTTCCGCAGCCGTCCGCTGAGAAAGTCACACGGTGCGGATGCAGATGCCCAAGATGGTTTTATTTGCATGGTCCGTTGTGCTGTAATGCAACAGGCAAATGTTCCGTAAGGACCGGCCTGGGTTAGATAACACAGCGTGTACTCTTTAACTTAAGCTAGAGACAAAACAACTCCGTGCCTTTAGGGAAA